AGCAAACCCCTGACACTAGCACGCCCGAGTCTGAGGCTAAGAACGCCCGCGGTCCAGTGGTGAGTCGACCAGCACAACGAACATCTTGACATTTCATACATACCCTACACCAGGAACGCGTCCACATCGATCAAACATTCGATGCAAGTACTGCTCGGGTCCATCACCACCTCGGCCCCGAGGCATCCCGTCTTCTCAAGTCACGAGTCCGCATCATCAACGTCTGGCGTCCCATCGGGCACCCAGTCGCCCACAAACCCCTCGCAGTGTCCGATTGGCGTCACCTTGATACCGAACACGATCTTGTCCCTGTTCGATTCATCTACCCGGACCGAACGGGTGGGATTTATAACGTCAAGTTTAATCCTGATCATAAGTGGCATTATTTGAGCAGTCAGGCTCCCGATGAGGTGCTGTTGATAAAGTGCTTTGATTCGGAGGTGGATAGAGCTAGGTTGACTCCGCATAGTGCGTTCTTGGATGAGACGAGTCCGAAGGAGGCTCCCCAGAGGGAGTCGATCGAGGTTCGGTGCTTGGTCTTCGATTCGGAGTGAAGGTTGGGTATAGAAGCAGTGGGCACATGTGACAGGTGACTACGTAGATGTGATCCAATACTCCTGAACAGTATCTTCTGACATCGTTCAGGTACTTTCAACTCTTATGCTTTGGCTCGGTACCTACACATGACATTCAGCACTGACAGAGCGTATTGAATCGCACACTTTGGATGACGCATAACGTACCCGCTGAAACCCGTATACACGTGCACCGAAGTACTTATCTTGGCAGTATCAACGTTGCGTCCGACATTGACAACCATCGAGAAGAGAAGAGACTGTCATTCCAACGTGACGTCGATGCAGAGAACTACGACAGGATGTCCTAGAGTCGATGCCATGGATTGTCGCAGCATGTCATGGGCGACATCGCTGCGGTACTAGGCGATATCGAACCTTCAAAGCTTCGACGGTGGGTACATCGCGGAGAAGACGGTACCAGATGCCTTTCCCAAGCATGCCGGCGGACATAGGTGACGGAGAAGCGAACGCAAATGTCGACGGGGTCTTGCTAAATCGTTCAAGACTGGGTACGTCCGACAAACGCGCGAAGTGAGAATGGTTTCTGAGAAGTTCTGAGCATAAAGATTTGTATATGCACCATAAGTCCATGGGAGCGAATATGGGGGTATTTTTGATTTCGAAAATGAGCGTTACGACATACCGGAGTGGCGTATTCGTCAAGGTTCGACAGTATTCAACTTATAAGTGTGAGACTGGAGAGGAACGAGTTCTGGGTTCGTCATTTTCAGGGAGATGAGGCAGCGACGAGCTCGAGAAAGAGTCTGAGACTGTATAAGACATGCAGACACGCAGAGGAACCTTACTGGCTGGCAGAGCCTTCTGCCAATTGCGGGCTCGGAATACTGTGCGTCCCAATATAATGAGCTTCGTCTGATCGCTATGGAGATGGGACGAGAACTCCTATGTGCTCACCTAATGCCCACTTCTGAGCTTAAAAGCCTGCTGTGGGCCAGAAGTGGTTGAATTGACGATCTGATGGCTTGCGCTAGACGTCGAAAAGAAAAGAGGGTGGTGTACTGCAGGCTCCGCGGCAGCTATGCTTGCTTGTTATGGGTAAAGTGCAACCCAAGAGCGGCATAGTCCCAATGAAGCTTGAAATAAATCAGTGAATCGATGGCTCCAAAGGCCCATGGGCACCCAGGGTCGACGAAGATCTCACAGAGAGAGTACGGGATTGGACAGAGGTTATTCCCGCGGGACGCTTCGTTGCCTGTGGTGGCGAGCGAAGTGTTGGTGGGTCTGGCAACGGCCGGATGGCGGTCATTTGACGAGAGAACCGAGAGAGATCGCGGGGTTGGCATTTGACTGATTGTACCGTCATATGCAAATTTACTGATGAAGGAGGTCGAGGAGGAGGTCTAGAAATGGGTGATAAATGATTAGCAGCCGTGCATGTAAGCGCACAGCGAATTTGCCTGCTCGTGGGGGGCAGCCAAGAGTGCAGGCGGCGAGCTCACGGAATGCATGCCAGCGTACGTACCGAAGAGGAATCTTGTAGGAGAGTACGGTAGGATGCGAGAGACATGGAGAGCACGGGCACAGGAAGCTGTCGCGACTCGCGCCTGTCGCGGCTGTCGTGGTCCCTTGTGTGGGCCATCAAATCGGCGACCCGCTGTCCCAAAAAGGAAGGCGCTGTGGGTAGAGGACACAGGTGACAGCCGAGTCGCTTAGCGCAAGTCTTCCTCGAATCTTTCGGGGCAATCTTCGATTTGCGTCCCAGCACCGGGCGGCATCCATCCAACATATATGCTCCTCCGAACCCGCCATCCTCCCCCGCACGCCGCCCCCGTCCCTCTCCCTCCCTCCACCACCATCCCCCCGCCTGCCACGCGGTTCCCGTAGTAGTCGCAGCGACATACCATGGCGTCCCCGGCAGCTGTCACGTACGTATCACACCCTCTGTTCATCTGCTCACGCGGGCGTGCTCACCCCGGCCCAGGTACGGCCCCATCTTCATCGGAATGGTGTTCAATATTCTCCTGTACGGTATCATGATCACGCAGACCTTTTTGTACTTCAACACCTACAAAAAGTAAGTAGCCAATCAATTCCGGCCGGGGCGGGTTGTTAACTTGACACAGCGATAAGTTATGGATGAAGTTCTTCGTACGTGCCGTGCATTTACACCCGCCCCCCGCCGTCTTACAACCTCCCGCGACAGGTGGGCTTCCTTTTCGTCTGCGACACAGCCAATTGCGCGTTCGACATCACCTTCGTCTACACCGCCCTCATCACTGAGTTTGGTAAGTTGAGTGGCGGCAGTCTTGTGCCTGTACCCACCGATTAACATCTACAGGAGATGACAACGCGTTGCAATTCGCTTCATGGGGTGAGTGATCTCCCCGCTTCCGTCGGATGGACGATTTTGACATGGACGTTCCTCCAGTCTTTGCGACAGGTACGCTCTTCACGCCTTCACCTGTGGTGTCCGCGATCTCCGTCTGACCAAGTCTTTCGGCGTGCATAGACCCTGCAATGACCGTGAGTGATCCTGCAGCGCTAGGTACCATCCAAGCTCATGTTTCATAGGCTATCATTGCGTTATGCGTCCAACTCTTCTTCGCATGGCGAATGAAGGTACTCACCGGAAGTTACCTTGCCGTCGTTGCAGTGGCAGGCTGTTCTATAGCCCAGTGGTGTAGGTTCCGTCTGAATCCAGGTATTCGCTGTACTGAACAGGATGATCAGGTGGTGGGATAGGCACCGCTATCGCGGTTCGCATCGTCCCAAAATTCGTCGAGTTCCAGAAATTCCAAGTCATCGTCATCATCTGGCTGGCCTTCTCTGCTGTTGCTGACGTTGGAATTACAATTGCATTGGTGTGGCATTTGGTACGTGAACGCGTGTGTGTGACCGTGTACGACGCTGACCTGCCTTGTAGCGCAAGCACAAGACGGGCTTCTCTGCGACCGATGATATTGTCAACAAAATTATTCGACGTAAGTCGTATTCTTCCCCCGACAGGCTGACACTGACAGTTGCACAGTCACTGTACAGACCGGCTTGATTACGGCGCTTTGTGCGACGACTGACCTCATCTTGTTCCTGGCTTCGGTGGGTTGTCAGCACTGTGTGATTGTTATGGCAGCTGACATGTCTTTCACTAGCCTTCGGGTCTTCACTTGATCTTCAACCTCCCTCTCTCCAAGTTGTACACGAATTCGCTGATGTCCAGCTTGAACTCTCGGGCGGGATGGAAGTATGGCGCAAGTATCGGCAAGAACATCAGCCCCGACGTCGAATCAAGTCGAGGTGCGGTAACCAACCTTGGCGTCAGCGTTGGCACTAGAAGCCACAGGGTGAGCACTTCTTGATCGCGGAACGCATGCACAGGCTTACCGCGTATCTCAGCCGAGTCAACGGGTCTACATTGACGTCGAATCGCATGAAATGGTCGACCGCGTCGGCGATACGAAGTTGGGTATCCGTCAGGACAACTCGGAATCAGGGTCGGATATGTACGCCCTCCCTGAAACCAGGTCGTATCCAGAGAAAGATATCCCAGGTGTCGTGAGTACGAGTGGTTCTGGCTCTGAATTCAAGGACTGAATGTTAGCATGATTATTCTCGGTAATTCCCCATCGGACGCTTCGGACTTGCATTTGTACGATATACTTCTTTTTTGCGTTTCTCTCTCCTGCCATCGCTTCGTTTCTTCTTCTCTTTTTGCATGATGCATGAAAAAAAAAGTATTGAATGGTAATCCCTTGTTGCGATACCCCACCCTCATCGTCGCTACATAGTCCGTCTCGCTATCCCTTCCCATCGCAACCAAACACGCCCTCCATCGCATTCATTCCCACCCCGTTTTGTATCCTATCTCGGACCAACCCTTGCATTTGTTCGCGTAATTTCATGCGTAGTTATTAGATGTGTTGTAATTTCGCCCGCTTTTTTCCTACGATTTTTGGTCGATGTTTCGTGCCGTGCGTACAGTAACATGTTGTCGGGGCCGGGGAAAGGCTTAGGTAACTTGAAGATAGAGATACGGTTCCGATTGTTGGATATGGCTTTCTTCGAATTCTTTCTTGGTTTGACAGCGGTTTTGTAGGAACGGTCGTTCGTGGAATGGAAGAATACATAGACATGATAGACTGTGGTTGACGTAGATCTGAGTGCTCGTCCTCAGATGATCCTTTTGAAAATCGAAACGAACAAGCTTCGGAAAGCCCAGAGACGTTCTAGGGCGGTCTTCGTAAGCTTCGTAGTGCCACCGTCAGTGTCAATGTCACGTCGAAGAGCCTTGTGCAATGTGCACTGCGTAAAGAGGCGCCTATTTTACCTTTTAGACAATTGCGAGTGTCGGCGGATGAGATCTGTAGACTGTTCACCACGCCTTTAGCTATAGCTTGTGCGTTTCCCTTCATGACGCCTCGAGGTTCGGGGATGACCAAAAAAGAAAGTGGGGACTTCCTGGAACTCTCTGACTGGGAGTCGAACCCAGATTTCGCGCGGACACCCTGAATCAGACCCAGTACCCGGAGGTTGTTTTGCACGATGATCGATGACAGGCGCGTGTACTAACCGCTATACTATCAGAGATGGAGGTGTTTTGCTTTTTGGTTGATGTGGTGAGCTACGTCTTGAGTGGGTGTGGGATGCACCTCGGTGAGACCTCAGGCTTGGGAATGTTGAGGGGGTCTAAGTTGAAGTAGGATTTTGTGATGGCTAGAAAATGCTCAGTGAGTCCATTAGTGTGACGATATATTTAGATTCCTCAGCACCGATCCGCTTACTGCCATTTCCTGCCTGCCTTGACTCAGGCTAAAATTGGCGGCCTCGAGCTGCTGCGGACTCGGGTGTAAGCACCGCGAGGATGATCACCCTTGGATGCAAGGGAGGGAATGGTTCAGGTTTTTTGTTGGGATCAACTATCAGAATAACGGCACTCACTGTGTGTTGAGACCCTAGACAAACAGAGTTGAGCGGAGAGTACGTGCGGCTAGGCTCCTTTTCCGAGTCGGCCTGTACGCTATAGTCGTACCTTTGTACGTGCGGCGGCATGGTATGGTCTGAGCCTGTCGATGTCATCAGTCTATCGGGTCACTTCACGGTGCATCTGCTAGGTTTCAGGCACGGAAAGTCAAGGTATGAGGATTACAGGGCGGCCCGGGTACCACCATACGGCATCATATGAAACAATGCGAGATACTTATGCCCTACCTCGCCTGCTCATTTTTGAACCATTTAGCCGTAGTTCGAAATAAGAGGATTACCAAGTGTACTTATACCATCGGAAACTGGTTTAGGAGTCGATATGCATTGGTCCAGCAGCATATAGCATGGGGGTGAATTCGGGGTGGATACTGAAGTTGCTGTAGGACTTCTGTGATGCGATACATCAGTGCATGACTCGCGCATAAAGCCAGACGACCGACGCGCAGCAAGGTCAAGACAAAATCGACAAATGTAACTGCGGAGGTAAGTATGCAGATGCAGCGGGAAACGGGATACTCACTAGAGAAATCGCCTACAAGCAACCGCAGACAACCTAATGTATTAGCGTGACATGGATGTAAAGTGTTGCGAGATAGACATTTAAGACTATGGCGCAAGTTTCATCTGCGGTCACTTTTGAGCAATACGGAAGGTCTTCAGCTGGCTCCTCAGTTGCAATTGATAGAAACAATGCGACAGCCTGAGCTCGGAGTATGCGTTCAGAATTCGCGTCTTCCGATGATACTGCTGCGTACGTTTGGCATACCTCCTCAAAGTACGTACGGATTTCGTGACCGTAGACGATAATAGCTCTAGCAGGGGATGGACGAAGGCAGGAAGAGGGCTCAAGTGTAGTCAGGCGGACTCGACGCCTGAAAGCAATGATGTTACCATATCCGGCCGAGCACATTTCACTTCTTTCACCGCATGCCGCAGCTCGCTTGACTTGCTTATGATCTTGGCCTCCGTATATAATCTAGCATCTTGACTAGCTGACACGTCGCTCCCCTATTATAAGGCCCCCCCTGCTATCCAGATTACAGACACAAATCCCGAGGAGAAATGGCAACAGCAGCTTCATCTCGCATCTTAGTTATATCCTCGACCGCAGAACAAGCACGGGAGTTCGTCGATCGTAAGTGGATGTCAAGCTTCAGCTAACGTCGCATGACGGTGACCGTTCAGGTGTCAAGGCCTTCGAACATCCTAGGTTACCTCCCGCAGACGCGAGCAACCAGACTGGCTTGTCCGTGAACGATTCGGGGAGCGGGACGATCCCGTGGACGATCTCGAATCGGTATTACACTGCGGAGGTGCATTTCGAGACTAGAGTGATACACGAGCTTGCTTCTCATCATGCGAGCGGTGTTCCCGCTGTCATTTACGTTTGGTCAAGAGGAGAGGTAAGTGAACTCGTGTGTATCCATCTTAACCTTGATCTGACTACATATTCCTAGAAATACACCGAGCATGTTCCCACTTTAGCAGGAAGACTGAATGCTCATGACCCTGAGGTCTCCTTAGCTGTACGCTTCGGTGGAAGTGATATAGACGATGAAGACAACATAGACGAATTCCTCTCCTCCCATGGTTTCGAATACATTGATGGTGACCGCGGTGCTCGTGTCGCGTCCACACCTGGGGAAGGATTTTCAGAAGACGAAGACTCAGGTGCTATTTCTTCATATGTTCCTCTCTATACGTCGCTCACAATGCTACTAGTAATTCCCGGCCTGCCTCGGGTAATCGATGCGTTGAGTACCATCATGTGGCCGAACATGGTTCAGTCGGACACCACCCGCAACCGGAAGAGTCGTGCACGAGAGCTGCTGGGTTGGGCACGCGAAGAGGAGGAAGAAGATGGTCTCCAAGCTCTGGTCGCGTCTTCATCCGATCCCGATACCAGCGTCAGCCATGATCCCAGTTCTTCTGACAAGAAGAAAAGTCGCATGCAACGCGAGATGGAGGAGCTCGAACGTTGGCTGGAGGAAGAAGACCATTCGGATGCGCGGAAACGGGAGGAGGAAGATAGGAAAGCTTGGGTGCACGCCGAGGCTGCCGATACGTGGGCAGACATACCTACCCCGACAATCCGTACTCCTCATGGCGAGGAACTTGGATTCGACGATGATTTTGATGACTTCGTAGGCACGCCTTTGGACGTGTCCTATGGTCATGACAGGAACGAGCCAGAGGTCAAAGACAAGGATAAGTTGGCGCCGATGCATACTGGCGCTTCATATAGGTCTCTGGGTTCTATGGACGATTTTTCTGGGGATGGCCATATGTTCATGCATACGGAGGGTACCGACTTTGGCTTTGAAGATAACCAGGATGATGAGTTCCCCTCGAAGGAAGAGATAGAAGCAGCATCCAGGCGCATCTTTGGTTCACAATTCGACCAGCCTTTTATTCCCAAATCATCTTCCTCATCATCCACAACATCAAAGCCTTCGTCATCATTCGAAGTGGATTCGGCGTCGACGTCTTTCTCGTCATTCCGAGGGGACGGCGGCAGTGATATGGACGACGATTCGGAGTTCGAGTTTGGCGCATTCGATCTCTCGAGGGTGTTGAGTGCGCTGCAGGGCATGAAGGAGGAGATTGCTGGTATGTCGGATGAAAATGAAAGACGGAAGGCTGCTGCGCGGGCTGCTTTGGGTTTGGTATACGGACTGAGGAAAGAGGATGAGAGGACTGTTGATGTACCATAGACTAATCAGAAACACATTGTCCCTGCTCCGTGGTTATCTCGCCATAGATCGTAGTTGCAATACGCTAGAATACCTACGTGTGGATCGAACCCTCGCATTCTCTCGTTTACCATCAACGTTCTAAGGACCTCGCAAAGCCGGTTCCTGGGAATACTTAGATCTTAGAGTCGCATTCGCGGGGTAAAACGCACGTGATCATATGCTTGCACCAAGTCCGCACAGGCATATTCACAGCGAGCGGAAATACTTTATGTACTTCCGACGGCTGCGAATGTGCTCGCAAGGAATGCACTAGCAAAGACCTGACCATCCAAGCTAAATGGCCTTGCTACTTACAGGCGCGACCAAGGACATCAAACATGATTGGGAAGCTCCCGGGAAGCACCATTTCATGCTGCGCTGGGAGCACAACCAGTGGGCAACTCAAAGCTGAATCTGGCAATAACTGTTCACGACCTTCGATCAATATAGCGGTATGCTACAGCAGAGCATTGAGGAAAGCACGATATTAGAATACAATGTGAATGACTTCTCACGACAACGTAGCACCCCCTTAAGCAGCACTTGAGCTTCCTGCCTGCTTCCCTTCATCCTCCTCGTCCTCCGTGTCACCGCTGTTCCCTGTCTCATCTCTAATCTCATGACTAGAGAAGTTCAGGATACCGACAGCATCAAGCATCTTCACGACATCCTCCGCTTCCTCCACCTTCATCGAACCAAGGACCTTATTGACTTGATCGAGGTCCTGAGACTTGAGTGCTTCTTGTAGCTCAGGGCTAAACGACTGGAAGACATCCCATCGCATCTGCAATGCGGCGCGGACATCTTCAATGTTGACGTTCTCAAATCCTGGGCCTTCGAATTCGAGATGTTCGGGCGGAGGACCGTCTGGGACTGTGAATGAGATTTTGGTGCTGGGATCTTCGGGAACGAGTTGGATTTGTTCTTGGGGTTCGGCTGCAGCTTTGGATACGCGAACTCGCTCGACTAAGTGTGCGTAGGTGTCGACGACATCCTTCTCGAAGATGGAGGTGGCTCGGGGATCGCCTGCGACCATCCTACAAAACACAGTCGGTCAGTTAAACGTACAAGAGTTATTGTCGCGCGGATTTACATACTTTCTAAAGAATATTGATACGCCGTCCTTCCCAAGTTTCTCGCAGTATTGTAGGAGCAGGCTCTGGTGTACACATCGTTTCGCCCAGTCGGCATTACCTTCACTTTGGGCCTTGAAAGCGGCAACGAGCAGAGCATCAGAAGCACCAGGAACGATTGTATCACGGTGCTCCTTGATGAACTCCCAAGATTGCTCGTAACCCTTCAGAGGCAATTTCGAGAATGCTTCCAGAGTAGGCGTGAGTTCAGGAAGTTCCTCATCCTCTGTGTCCTCTGTTGCCTTCGAGGATGATGCTTCTGCGGCCGCAACACCTCGGGGGTTGAGAACTTCGATCTCAGTGGTCTTGGTCTTGGTCGTCTTCTTGTCGACGTTGTCAATGGCGTGTGCACCCTTGATCGGAGGAGGGGCAGGCTTCGGTGGAACATACTACAACACGACAATCAGTATACGGTAATGGGATGATGCGACTTAATACACATACATGTGAATCGAAGCCATCGTGAATATCTTCGCTAGTAATCTTCTTCTTCTGCTCAGCCTCCTCTTTCTCGAGTTCCTTTCTCTGCCTTTCTTGATGCTCAGCCATCAGCTTGACATGCTTCTTCAAGCCCTCAGTCAGCTTCTCGCCAAGCTTCGGGCTGTCCTTATCGACACCCTGGGATTTGACATCCTCCCACACCTGGAGCATCAGTGTGAGCAGCATCTCGTCATAGGTCTTCTGCTCCGGCGCATTGGTGGGAGGTGCCTCGGGAGAAGGGTTGTTCTTGAATCGA